CCCCCCAAAAAAAAAAAAATAATAATTAAAAAAAAGCGCAGAAATGAGGCACAGAAATCACGATTCCGCCTGCTTTAATGGTTGCGGTGCGTCCGTTTGGGGTTTTTTTTTCCCCCTTTTCTTGTATTATTTATAAAAATATTCATATATGATTATTTATTTGTTTTCCGCTTTTCTTTTTAGGCTCGTGCGTCTTCCTTCCGCTGGATTTGTTATTTTTTTTCTTTTTTTATTCTTTTTTTTCTTTTTTTTTTCTTCTTTTCCGGCCCTTCCCAAGACCTCCTGCGAAGCTTTCCCCGCGAGACCGGCAGGCGACTGGTCGGCTTTTATACCTCCGGCCGCTTCGTTTGCCCGACACGCCGAGATTTAACCGAAACGCCGAGATTTAACCCCGTTTTTTTTTTTTTAAATGACCCGCCTTAAATCCGACCCTGCCGCGTGCTTCCCTTGATCCGCTTGTGTCGCTATATCCTCCCGGGAAGCTGTAATATTCCTGCGGGAATTATATACACGTCGAAGCGATGTGTTTTTTGGAGGGTTTGGGGGTCGGGTTTTTATTTATTTTTATTTTATTTCCTCGCGGCCGCGTCGGAGGAGGGGGGGAAAACCCCCCACTAATCCCTATTTTTACCATCCCCGCTTTTTTTCCCCGAAAAGAGGGAGTTTTGGGGGGAAGGCGAAGACCCCTTCCCCATCCCGCCCGAGCTTTGTGGCATTCTTGGCACCGCAAGAGATATTCCGCGTTCTCCCAAAACCGAATCCGCCACCGCAGCCACCAAAAGCTGCGAGCGGAGCTTCGGCTTCGGGATTTTTTATTTTTTTTTTTAAATTTTTTTTTTAAATTTTTTTAAACTCCCAGCGGTGAGAAAATATTTATTTTAAACCTGGGGAATTTCTTTTAAAAATGGGGAAAACCCGGCGCGAGGCTCGCGGTGGAGCTTCCCGCTGCTTGGGCTGCGTCACGTTTTCACCTCTCCTCCGGACTTTTGGGGTTGTTTTGGGTTTTTTTGGGGTGGTTTTTTTTTTTTTTGTGTGCCGGGTCTGGATTTCGGAGCTTTTT